TAGTGTTGACGGAAAAACATCATTGATTTTATCTTCTATCAAAGTAATGGATTATATTTTAACCTACCAGAAATATCGATGCAAATGAATTTGGCATAATTTCCTCATTCTATATTCATGAAGACTTTTTCTCTCAATTACACTTTGAATGTCTCATGTAATTTCATTTTTCTCCAGATCTAAGGAAATTTCGATTCTGGTTTCTATTATATCGCATTATATTTTTGTGAAATCTTCGATACAATTTTCAAACGCTCATCGAGAGATCATAAATGACAAATGACAGGCGGTCAGTTCGTCATCTTCTGATGACGCCAACTTGATTTGAAAAACACCATAAATGACAAATGATAGTACGCTTCAAATAAGCAGCACTGTTTACGTTCCTCATTAGAGTAAACAAGACGCTAAATTGGTTAACGAAGATGCGGCTCAGTATCCTTCTGGCATGTTGGATCGAACGTTAATACGTGAGGCCCTCTCAGTCATCGTCGTCGTCGTCTCATTTTTTTTAGTCGTACCATATTCCTAACCCTTCATATCGCTCGCGCCATCTATGTTTTTTCCTTCGTCATCTCCTGATGATGTCAACTTGGCTAGCAAAAACACTCACAAATGACAAATGACAGTACACACTTCAAATGAGTCACATACTGTATACGTTCCTCATTAGAAAATTGGAGAGCGGATCGCACGTTTAAACGTTAAAGTCCCGTTAAACCGTCATGTTTCTTCCCTAAATAACGTGTTTTGACACGCATTCAGGGATCGCACGTTGAAACGTTACAGCCTCGTTAAACTGTTGTTTTTTTAATGATGTATTTTGCCACACCCTGTATACTCCACTAAATGCCCGCTGCCCTGTTTTTTCTTCAATCCAATTTTTCCTTCATCATTATTATTATAACATTATTTTTATAATTCAATCACGCTGTTATCTTTCACCTGAATGTCTCCGATACTCATTCTATCCTTCTCTGCATTGATTATATCAACTGAATTTGCGGTTGGTTACCTCGTTCACAGGCAGATGGGGCGATGACAAACTGGTTTTCTGTTGTCTGCTATTACGATATAGATTATGNAAGCAGAAAAATCTTATTGATTTGTCTAATGTTTGAAGATTTCAATAGTCAGGAAACAAAAATCTCGGTAAATAATTCTTATGCTTGGTTGTTCATTTCAAAACAAATGAAATATGAGAGAGAGCTATAGGATGAGGAAAATACTTTCAATAATGTGATACGAAAAATGTATTTTTCGTGTTATCGCTACGAAATTATCGAAATGTGAAATAATTGTTGATATTTCAGAAGAGTGGTTGGCCGGTATCTTAGCGGTCTGAAGTGCAGGCTGTTTGAAACTTGGGCATTGCGACAGCCGGTTCAAACCCGGTGATCAAGAAGTTTTTTCTCAAGTACTCAATATCGGAATCGAAAGGCGACCACATGCATCTTTGAAAAGCAAATGTATTGTGAGTTGTCTAGATGGCAATCCCGTCTAGTGCTAGCTTGTAGTGCACACCGACCACCAGAGGTGGAGCTTTATGTTTTTCGGGTTTTCCTACATCTGAAAAGCGAATAAGCTACCAAAAATCAGTAAGTCGTAAGTCGTCTCGGTCTTATCAGGCTATATGAGTGTCTATGAGGGAGAATTATTACTATTGATGATTATTACTATTGATTTCCAACGTCCGTGGAAATACCCATAGAATAGTAATAATAGAGAAAAAAAAAATAATACGAGAATAACTTCTGACAATCTTTTTTCAATGTTGAAATTCCAAGTGATGCATTTAAAGCTATGAATACTACGAAAAAATACTAAGAAATACTAAGAAAAAATACAGATATTGAATCTATCCATTTGATATGGATTTCAGTAATAATCTCTCAATTATTTATATGATTCTCAACATGTGTATCAACTCCATGTTATATAGGTTTTTTCTGCTAGTTGTTGAATGTCACTACGCCCTTCATTACTATTTCAGATATGATAAAAGTGTTTTATTGAACAGTATCAATTGCATGCGAATGACATCTTGAACGCCATTAACTCTTGCAAGTTAGAGAAATTCCACTTCAAACCTAAAGAAACATTTTCTATTGATTTTGATGATAATGAAAAAATTCAAGGATATTATTGTACTTCCAAGTCTGTAGCTCGTACTCTTAGGTGCATGCTCACATTTAATCAGCTTTTTGTGGTTCATGGAATATGCTCTACATAAGCAAAATATTTGCTACCCCTCTACAAGACTCACAGATGTTATATTTGATGCCGCTAATACACGTCAGCAAGTTAATCAATACACCCTACCGGAGCTCATTGGTATGTAGTTCTTTTGTCATATTGGAACAGTTTGGATCCCTGCTTCAGACATACTTTGCATATTGCCATTTTCATTCTTTTTGTATTTTCAGTGTTTCCCATTCTATTTTTCTTTCGAATATTCGTGGTGATATTTTTTTTGAATTGAAATGCCATTATAAATGTATGTTCGTAATTTTTTTTTTAAATATTCCTCGAAAATTTTTTTCAATTGAAATATCTGTATAAATGATTGGAATATATCACGAATTTCACTAGTTCGGATTTCCATTGTCTGATATTATATAAAATGATTTGAAATCCCTGAAAAAACTAATAAAACAAGAAGAATTCCTTATAGGACGAAACTGCAGTAACGTTAGTTGCAAATGAAAGTGGTAAAAACATAGAAAGTTTCAATTCTCTTTTCTTAAAAAAATAAAAATAAAAAGCCAAGCCAAGTTACTTCACGACGTTTTGATTGTTAGTATCCACAATCGTCTTCGAGTGATGACTGGACTAATTTCTCCGATAGATGACTATTTATGGGTTANTCTATTTTTACTTGTATTTTATTTCACTATTATTTCATTTCAGGTTTTTTTGCTTAATTTTCAGGTATTCTTCTTTATTTCTTTTTTTATTAGTTCTTTCAAGGATTTCAAATCATTTTATATAATAGTATACAATGAAAGTCCGAACTAATGAAATTTATCATGAAATATTGTCAATCACCTTCAAACAAAATATATCACGTTTTTCAATATCCTTTAAAAAAACCTTCTGATACAACTTTTTTCAATTGGTTATTATCGAAAGGTCAGTTTTGTTCAATAATGGTGTCTTCGTTGTTATTTCAACATTAGTCATTGAAAATTATTCATCCTGTATGTAATGAACATCCTTCACCAAACTACTGAAGTGAGAATTGAAAAAGAAATGACTATAAGCTAGGTGGAATATGTGGATACCTGAGTTAGTCTCATCTGTAAACCTTCAACAACCTGTAGATAAAAAATTGTACATTTTTCAAGGTTGGGCCCATGGACACTTTTGATCATCACCTAGTGTTTGTCTCATACTGTAAATCAATTTCGTTCAAGAAGTGTGTTGAATGGTTCGTGGTCAAGTTTCCCTAAAGCTCAAAGTTTAAAAAAAATATACAAAATGCCACCAGAAAAACTGTTATTTATTGAGTCACCTTGTCAAAACGTTGATTTAATCAATTTTGAGATATTTAAATGATAAGCATATCAGTGTGTTATTTGGTTTGGACACATATTCGCTTCATAGGCATGATTGAGGATTTCAGTTTGAATAATGCTGCACTCACCTTGTATAAAACAATATTTTTTTTATCAAAAACCGGTCCAAAAGTATTGCTTTATGTGCAAGCAATATTCGTCGACCAAAACATTTTTATTTCCTGAAAGCAAGATAACTTTAAGGAAGTGGTCACTTACCAACTTTGACACCCTGTATCTTGAAAACTAGCCATAGGATTGAGTTAGGCCAATAGACACTTTTGATCAGCTTGACTTGAACCATATCATATCAAAAATTAATCGAATTTCAACCGGGACCCATTTTCCATAAGAATAGTGCGGGGTTCTTTTCAGCCGCCAGTGACCACTGGGACCACGTGACTGGTGCGCTTGAATAGGTGGTCTGTCTCATTGAAGTCGGAACAGTTTGAATTTCCTGCTGTGCGCACGATAGCTTCTAATTGGTCGAGTGGGTAATGACGAAAAGTGGAGGAGTGTGGGTGTTCTGAAGAGCTGCCATCCTTACTGGTGTGTATATGTACGTATAACTATTTTTATTGGTATACCCAACCAATTGGTATTGGTATATGCTTGTATACATTTTTATCTTATTCACACACGTTTTGTCAATGA